TAAGGATAATCACTCCATCCTGCATCGTATTGATTTGCATATGCATCATTCCTAGGCCTTTGATAACTGTTGTTGACCCTACAAACTACCAAGCCTACGTGGCACGCAGGCCAAGTAATATGAGCTAACTACGTCCTTCAGTTGAATGCGGGGCGTGCCAACTCGTCGGCCGAGGAGTAAAAATATGCTGATGTTGTGATGAATGCGGGGCCAACTTCTGCATCTTGCAATTACAACCGAGGAAGGAACACATCTTGGCCTCTTGGGTTCTCGAACCTGAAGACAAGGCTACTATTCTTACGAAGCTCACAAATCATCGTCGTCGAATTCGGTCACAATGATGGTATTCATCAGAGTAAACTCACGCCGAATCGACACCAAAGTGTAAGGGCACAAATACTCAAAGCAGATATATGTCTTAACAATAAACGTAGTTCGGCCGTCGAAATGCCGAACTCTAAATCACACTTGAGAGTATCCAATCATAAACTAACTCGGCGTGCAATGTGCCGAGCCTAATAAACTGTAACACCTCACTTCGCCAAGAAGGCTAATGAGATGACCTCGACCAATAAGGATTCGGGAATCCTTTTCGACCGAGACTTGGATAGATAACCAGTCACCCTCGACGCAGTGCTATCTATGCCGACTGAAGATGCTGCGAGACCGGCTGGTTCTACGGTGGCAGTGCTATCTATGCCGACTGAAAATATCACTGGTTGCTTTCACAGTGCTGTTTATCCAAACTGAATGTGTGTCAGCGAAAAAAAAAAGGAAAAAGTCTCAAGGTTGTTGAGAGAATTTGCGCAGGGCAGTTGTGTGTTGAATTGAATGGGTCTTTTTCAGTTGTCTACCGCTTGGTATTTATAGAAATCTGCATGCCCAAGTCGCATAAACCAATCATAATTGCAATATGACTCTGAATCTTTATTTGCTGTTATCCTCACGTCTTATCGCATCAATCAAAACTTGTGTTACCCTGCAACCTGACGCAATCTTGATGAGCTGGATTATTGGCATCCTGCCAAGAATATTCAATGATACTTTTTTTCCACCATCAGAACCTTTATCTATGCATGTAGAATAACCTTCCGCCAAAAACCGCGTGCATGCATGATGATTCCTTTATCCACCTAAACTCTAAAAGGTAAAACATATAATCGCCATACCCCTAGATAAATCCTACGTGCACCAATCCCATCCATGAATTAATTAGAAGGTCACACACGGCAGTTCACTTCCCAAAACAATCGCATCTACAAGTTACCCAAAGCATGCATGAAGACCATGTATCCCTATGATTCTAATCAGATTGTGTTGCCAATGCCATCTTATCACCATTTTTACTTCACCCTTATTGTATGCATGCATATCTGTCCACCAAAACCGATCCAAACCACACATCCACACGCCAAACATCCAACTCAGCTCGAATTGTGCTACCATGTTTCTAGTTGGAGATATATTTTCATCTTTCGTAAGAAAATGTCAAGATAAATCACTAAAAGATAATTATGATAAAAATCATAATATTATCCTTTAATAATAACAAAATCATCTTCATTTTTTATCCAACGGTTGGAGCTATGCTTACTCAACGGCTTTGATTGCACGGGCCGATAATGTAAAATCGGGTCCAAACAACTGTTCATCATATTAACATGTTGCTCAACTAGCTACAGGTAAGACTCCTTATGCGGACATCCCATTATGTCGTGCATAGCCATGCTACAAATAGTGCAAACTGTTGCTACAGGTAGTTGCTGCTGTGTAGAACTAACTAATTATTGTAAAATAATGTCAAACTTTGCATCAATTTTCTTCTCCATTTTTTCCATTTGTGCAGACATGTTAGGAGAATCTGCTGACAACTCAAAAATGCCCATTTTCTATGAATGTTCAACTGCCCATTGTTGAGATTATGCAACCATCATATCAAACAGTTCAAACGCATCTCTTGCAGATTTATTTGACAACGATCCTCCAATTGTTGTATTAACATGGCTCTTAGATGTAGGATTAAGCCCATTGAAAAAAATATTCATTTGTGTACCTGAATCAATATTAGCATGTGGACACTTCATGTACATCTCTATATATCTCTCATATGCTTCATGAAACTCTTCATTAGGCTTTTGAGTGAATGTCATAATCTCTCTTTTGTAATTCAATGTCTTAGATGCTCGATAATACTTGTTCAGGAACTTTGTATGTAATTATTGCCAAGTAGTAATGCTATTAGCTGGTAGAGTGAATAACCCTGTTTCCGCCTTAACCTTTAAGGTGAAAGAAAAGACGTAGCTTGATAGCCTCGACAGAAAACCCCATGATTAATATATTTTTGCAGCCCACAATGAATTTTGCAATATGTATGTTTGCATCCTCATTTGGCAACCCACAAAAGGTTGGTAAAATTTCAAGCATGTGGTGCTTGATCTCAAATGCATCGCTCTCTTTATGGGCAGGATACACAATACAATTGGGAACATCGTTTGCACGGGCAGCCAATAGTCTTTTGTTCCAACTAGGAAACCAAATAATAATAAAATATCTTAGAAAATAAAGTCATAATTAAGCTAGGAGAATCGGTCAGGGAACTGTCCAGCCACGTTTTAGCCTCAAATATCCTCCAAATCTGGCCCATGATAGCTCATTTTAAAGATCAGAACGTTCTAAACACATCTCCAGAAGGGCCCGAAACCAAAATAGGTCATCTTGGGCTCCAAAACTCATAATTAAGCCCGAAACGTCACTTTACCACCACCACGCATTGCTCATTTATTCTATCGCTAGAGAATAACAGCTTGGTGGGAAAATATGATATTTTGACACAATCAAGCTAAGTGACTCACGAATATCCTCCAATTGGAATTACTCTAAAATTCTCCCATTTGATCATGTTTTGCTCCGGAGGAAGTCAAAAGACCTATATTGAAAATACAATTCAAAGTATTAAAATTCTTAGGGTTAAATATATAATATAAAATATACTCATCATGGACAATTGGTGGCAAGCCACAGTTATCCACCCATTATGGATCCGGAGAGGCTATGGGAAAATTTCACTCTATCCGTGGTCACAGTCAAGCAGACTCACTAAAGCATCGAACCTTTTCCTAGATTGAGATGCAATCCTAGAGCCAGGGACTAATTTCTCCCATGTCAGTGAAGACGTCTTCCTAGTGAGGGATGTGATAAACAAATTGGGATCAAATTTGTTATTTACGAAATTCAAACAACAAATAAAGAAAAATATTATTAGACGATAACACTACGTAACAACCAAAACTAACAAAATAAAAACCAAGTTTAAACAAGGGTATCTTCTCAAAAACTTTTTAATACGGATCAGTTACTTCTTGGGTACTTTTATACGGACCCCACAAATTACTGAAACCACCCCATATTTGATGTTTAGCTCTTGAACTTCCAATATTAACCTTGATTAAACTAACAAATAACTAAAAACCCCAGTAGGGTCAGCCACCACACCCACCTCTCAACGTCGACCACCCACCCCCAATCTTCAACCGGCCGACGACATCTCCTCCTTTCTATTTCTATCCTTCGTTCTTTCTATCTGTATTTAGCCAAGCGGACGGTAGACATGGATTTTTACCTAACGTAACCATCTCAATTCCAAAGCTAATTCAATAAACTGCAAATAGGACACAAAATCAACAAAAAAACAATCATGTTGTGCATTCCCAAATGAATGAAACATTATAAATTGAGGTGAAGATTGGGGACAAAATGACCAGTGGTGTCGCCAGGACTGTTGAGGTAGGACCTGGTTGGGTGGGTGATTGTACGCCAGTGAAAGGGTTGTGGTGGTCGCCGGCAGTGCGGTGGCTCATTGCCGGGTTTCTGTTTTTTTCTTTTAATTTTAATTTTTATGGGTAAAATTAGGATTTTAAAAGGAAAAATTGAATGGGGTGTTTTCACTAGTTTGTGGGGATGCCAATAGAATTACCCTTGCATTATGTTTGAACGAGTGATATAAATTTAGATTTTGAATACAATTCAGAATTTATAAATTGATATTCATCAATTCCCTTGTTTGAATTCATAAACATAAAAATTTAGAATTTCCGTATGAAAAAAAAAACTTGGAATTTGGGACCTCCAATTCCCAAGTTTAAATTCCATGTAAATAGGTGTCATTTCCCAATTTCTATGATTGAGAGTTTAAAAATAACAAATTCTATATTCAATTACAATGTTTCTTAGGTTAATCAAATAAGAAAATTCACAAATAATATAAAATAAATTCCCGTCATTTTAAAATTCCTTAGTAATATTAAATTTCTTCATCCAAATATAGTGTTACTTCTTAATACCAGAATTTTGTGAGCTATTGACTGATATTAAGAATCCATGCTATACTTATAATTTTTTATTAATATTTAGAGTCTAAGATATATATATATATATATAAGTGTTATTGGCACTCCAAAAATTTCATTCTACACTCTCACAAGTATATTTTTCTTTCCGAATATAAAAAGTTTGGAGTGTAGAATGTGATTTTTGAAATGTTATATATATATTTTTAGTACAACGATATATTTTTACACTAAAAAGATGAGGAGTTTGGCTACATAATAAATTGAAGTGGAAAGTCCCTCATCTTTTTAGTATAAAAATATATCATTGTACTAAAAAAAATTATATATATACATATATATATATTTTTTTTTTGTACAACGATATATTTTTACACTAAAAAAATGAGGAGTTTGAATAAATTGAAGTGGAAAGTCTTATCACACTAGTCAAGTTGAGGACTCCTAGTAGACTTATCTACCCTTTTTGCATGCACGCATCATTCGCAAGTTTTCTTTATGCTTTTGTTTTTGAAAATTCCAATCACTTTCTACTCGAGTGAGGGTTTAGGATATCCTAACCTATAGATTTTAAAGAAAACTAACGAAAAGTTTAAAAAAAAAATTTAATTTTAATGAAAATTGATAAATAAAGGTGTAGTTAATAGTACCAGAAAAAGGTTAAAATATGATTTTTCGTTAAAAGTGAACAGTATCATGAGTGTTTTGCTAAAACTCCCTAGATTTTATGGTAATCAAAGATTTGGACCTGTTGCATTGCAACTGTCATGCAGCTCAAATCCATCCAAGGAATAAGCATCCTCTCCTGATCCTCTTTATGAGGATTTCGAGAATCCTTCAATCATATCTGTTCATCGTATATCGTACAACCATAAATCATTGTAAATCTTTTTATTTAAAATTAAATATAAACAGTACTTAACAAAAATTAACCACACAATATATGATAAATGAATATAATTGTAAGATTCTCAAGATCCTCACAAAGAAAATCGAGAGGATCCTCATTCCCATCCGGATATATAATGTCAAGCGATCCAGCACCATTTCACACCTAACCAGTAACTAACCCTACTAATCCATGGGCCATCATTTTTGGCAAAGTTCAAGCTTTTATTATTTTTTAAGAATTACCGTAAATGGTACCCTTCATGTAAATTATTCTTTATTAAATGTCTAAGGTGGATATGGTGACAAATTTCGAATTCTTATTTGCTGAGTGACGAAATAAGCCTTATCATTTTAAGCATGCATGCATCTATTTTTTTTTTTTTTTTTTTGGAATAAACTAAATTATCTATATTAATGAAGTAAATGAGTAGGTTAAGCTACATAATGGACTAGCAATAATATAGTTCAAATTTGCCTTTGGTGAGAATCAAGACTAAGACTTCTCACTCACAAGTAAAGAAGAATACTGCTAGACCGTAATACTAAAGTGACTAAGCATGGATCTATTATCTATAGTGGTAGTATTTTGAGTGGTTCTTGTGCTTTTTCTCCGTTCAACCACTAATCTCTTTTATTAAGACAACCATTAAGGCTAAAACACCCACCTGCAGCTTGTGATTCCCTTTGTTTACTTGCATTTTCAATGTACGTGCCTTCGTAGTTCCCAAGTGACAGGGACTTGAGAAAGGTCATCACTTCCGTAGTTGATTGTTCCCTTGGGAAAAGTTTCATTCACCAAGATATTTAGTCTCATGCTTAAAACGAACACTTAATTAAGGGACTCAAGCTGTGAACATATATATACACCCATTTGAAAGTGAATCATGCATGACGCATCTATTTGGAATTGATGGTCATCAAAGCGCTCTCCAATATCAATTGAATTTAACAGTTAGATTAGTACAGCCGCAATTGCATCATCACAAACCTAATTGGTTTCCTCTTATTAACCCTATAAATTACTCTCCAATCACGTCACTTAGTACTACTATCTAGTACTATTTCTCTACACTTGTAAGTTTAGGGTTTTATGTTCGAATCTCGTACATGGATGGTTCAATATCAACTTATTATAGCAGACTCATTGTGTGACTTAGCCCAAATCAGCTACTGCCATAGCGCAAGTAAATCGTCATATTAACAGACTCCAATCATAGGTTGCTGCTGAAATTTTTTTAGTTACACTTATATTATGTTTGGATGAGAAACTTCAAATTTCATGGAATTTATGCTAAATTTGATGAATCAACTTAAAAAATGACTAAATGCCATAAATATGAGTTTAATTATTTTGAGAATACATATAAGAGAACTTTAAAATGACACCTCTTCATAGTACATACTAGCTAGTAATGCCCACGCGTTGCTGCGGGATTACAATTTGACTTTCTAGCAGTGTATAAACTTGAGTTAGCATAGTGTAACATTAATTAATCTAAACAAAACTACCATGGTGAAGGAAAGAATTTTATTTGCTGTAGAAAAATTATAGTTTTGATACCTTACAAAGGTAACTTGAAAAAAAATAAGAAAATTAACAGGTAGGAGTGTTTAACGTTATTTAATTATATGGAATGACATTAGTGAGACCGAAGAGTCGCATCACGTGTGACAGCAAAAGAAGCTGTATCTAGATTTGGGAAAAAAAATACATATAATCATAGAAATAAGTATAAAGAATTTTCAAATGCTCTTACCTACCTGCGAGGCTTCGAGTCGAATATAACTGATAAGCCCATTCCATTGGGGAAAGTTACGACCGATCCTGATGGACTCATCACCCATCAGACAGAATCTGGCAGAAGTATAAAAGCATTTGCTTCCCTTTACTGCAAAAGAAATGAATTACTATAAATCAAGAATCTATACCGTGATACACAAACAGAGGAATCATAGCACCAAACCATTTGAATAAACAATATAAATAGATAAAGAGAGAAGAGATTGCAATACCTTCTCTGTGTGTATTACAAATGAAGCAAGGAGGATGGAGCTTCGATCTGAAACTGCTATAACACATGAGAGGGAGGGTTAGGAACGAATGGCTAATTACCGCCTAATTTGACAGAATCTGGCCCGAATTGAGCTTGCCTATTCTCTGTAAATTTGCTAGAAAACACAGCAGTTAAATCACAAATTTAAAGCAGATAGAATGTACCTGAGGTTATGAGGAGGTCCTCGCTAATGCTGGATGGGGCATCAGCCCAAGTCCTCTTCCATATGGAGATTCATGAACCGGAGGGGACATCCTTGATAACCAAAATTGTATCCGCTCAAGGATGGGACATCTTTGATAATACATTTTTTATAATACCTTTAAAATGGAAGACAATTCAGTTGCGTTTCTTTGGTGCTTAACATGGAACAACAATGCCCGCCAGCTGAAAAGATCAGATTTCATACAAAAATACTAATAAATTTTGAAGGAACCCAGAAACAAAAATTGCAGGAGAACTTAACTATTTAGCTTTACTCCTTAGGTCAGTTCATAAAACCCTAAATGGTCGAAATCCATTTTCTTTCCACTTGTAATCTCAGCTCAGAAAAAAACTTCATTCAGTCAAGAACATTCCTTTACTTGTATTCCTGGTGTTCTACTTCAATTTTATATTTTGATGGAAACCCAGAAACCCCTTTTACGTACTACTGATTACCCTAAATATGTATCACAGCACCCAGAAACCCTGATTGCACAGAAACCCATAAACCCTAATTACCCTATACTATATATCACAGCACCAATTCAAAGAAGCCCTTGAAGAACTGGTGCCCCATTTTCGCTAACCAATTAATAAAACTTAAACCCAAAACGCTTTTGAGACTACGAAGTTCAAAGAAACCCAAATCTTCTAATTATCCAGTTCAATATTTCAATTTCCCAACTAAAAATGTTGAAATAAGCAGATAGAGGTTGACAGAGAAGGAAATTTATTAACCCAAATCCTACACGCTCATAAACATGCAAAACTCACCTGGAAATGGCAGATTAGATCCCTAGAATCGGCGCAACTCGAATTAGAAATCGAGTTTGACTGCGTTCCAATTCGTTTGGGGGCAAAATTAGGGTTTGATTTCAGAGGAAGCAATGGATCCGGGTTTTCGTTCAGGCGAATGGGCGCAGAGACGTGGAAAATGAGGATTATGAAGGGAATTGAGGGGCGAGATTGTTCGCACTCGTTGGAATCGAAGGCGAGATTTAGGGGTGGTTTGGGAGTGAGGTGTTTAAAAAAAATCACTTATGAAAAAAAGCTGTGAACGTTTTAGGTGTTTGGTAAACTAAAAAAAAAAAGTTTATTTTGGAAGCTGTTGTGAGAATAAGCTGAAATCAAAGGAAAAAGCTAAAGCTGCTATTTGTAGCTTTGGAAAACTGGCTTTTTTTCAAAGCACACGGAGCTACAGTGCTCTTTTAATGAAATGACCCACTATCAGACTACTTTTTTTTTCAAAAGCACTTTTACAAAAAAGTTTACCAAACACTCTGCTGATTTTTTTCACAACCGGTTATTCTCACAGCAGCTTTTTTTCAAAGCACAGCAATACCAAACCAACCCTTAGTAAGCCCGAGAACAACAGAAGAGAGATCTGTCAGAGAGATGTGAGAAAGCAACGGAAAGCAAAAGAAAAATTGAGAACACACAATCCGAACAGAGGATCCATCGATGACAGACGCGTGGAAGCAATGGGCAAAAGCGGCATTTGACTGCCCCAAAAACCAAAGAGAAGAACAACTGGAGGAAAAAGCAGGTTTCCCAAGGTTTTTTTTTTTTTATTAATTGATATAATCAACACTATACTACGAATGAGGAGGTCAGCTTAGCCTCATAATGAGATAGCAAGAATGTGATTCAAATTCGCTTTTGGCAAGAATTGAACCTAAGACATCTCTCACTTACAAGTGAAGAGAAATCCTACTAGATCGTAGTAGTAAGTGGTAGGGTTCCCAAGTTGTTGAAGAATGCAATTGTACCTTGAAAATTTGAAAGAATAAATTACAAATATTAAATGGTTCAATTTTTAATTGTGTAGAGCTTTTTTTTAATAAAATTTAAGTCTATCAAATTATGCACATGATTAAGTTGGGACAATTTTAGTGTGACTGTAGTAAATAGTAAGTCCGACTTTGAAATTTTGACATGCGCTCCCCCCCCCCCTAATAATAATAATAATAATAATTAGTAAGGAGGTGACTGTTGTGGCATTAGTTTTCACATGTCACTAAGCCCGACTTTGAAACCTTGATAGGAGTTCGGTAGTGTGTATTGTTCGTTATTGATCTACAAGCATTCTAAACTATTTGGCAATGCTTCTATTCTTCTATACAAAAGTCATGCATTCAACACGTCCCCTCATGTGTGGCCTCAATCAAGCCTAACTCATGAAGAAACTATATTGGGTAACAAGAGTTATTAGGCTCAACACGTGGATATTTTGGCTCTAATATAACCAGTTGAAAATATGAGGGAGAGATAAAAATTAATTAAACTATTAGACAAAGACTTTTCATATGCACGCATCATTCGCAAGTTTTCTTTATGCTTTTGTTTTTGAAAATTCCGATCACTGCCTCACTCGCAAACATGCTTTCTGATGGAATGAGGGTTTAGGAAATCCTAACCTATAGATTTTAAAGAAAACTAACGAAAAGTTATAAAAAAAAACTTTAGTTTTAATGAAAAATGATAAATAAATGTGTACTAAATAGTATCATGAAAATGTCAAAATGTGATTTTTCACTAAAATTGAACAGTAACATGAGTGTTTTGTTAAAACTCTCTAGATTTTATGGTAATCAAAGATTTGGACCTGTTGCATTGCAGCTGTCGTGCAGCTCAAATCCATCCAGGGAAAGAGCATCCTCTCCTGATGAGGATTCTGGTAATCCTTCAATCACATATGTTCATCGTATATCGTACGACCAAAAATGATTGTAAATCTTTTTATTTAGAATTAAATATAAATAATACTTGATGAAAATTGACCGCATAATATACGATGAACGAATGTAATTGAAGGATTTCCAGAATCCTCACAAAAAGAATCGAGAGGATCCTTATTCCCATCCAGGATATATATTGTAAAGAGATCCAGCACCGTTTCACACATAACCTGCAACCAACCCTACTAATCCATGGCCCACCATTTTTTGGAAAAGTTCAAGCTTTTATTATTTTTTAAGAATTACCGTAAATGGTTTGATTTAAACTCTTTAGAGCAAGTCCACCGGAGTGGACATTGCCCAGCACCCAGTCCAAAAACCAGCCCAGCACCCTATCCATTTCGTCCAGCTCGCACAATAGCCTGGCACCCAGCCCATGTTGGTCTTTGGGCCAGCACAAAACAGACTGACCAAGAAGCTGGGCAATTTGATGGCGCGTGCATGTCACGGGGCCCGTGGCGCGAGTGCCCGACAACATTTCAAATGCGGGGCCCGCGCGCAAGCTCACTTAGACCACAACCCGGGTAGGCGACGTGGCCTAATTTTAGCCGTTGGATTTCCAACGGCTAGTTTTTCTAGACCGTTGGATTTCCAACGGTAAAAAAAATTTTAATTTGACTTTTAAAATGGACCGTTCAATCACAGATCAACGGTCCACGTTTTTTTCACAAAAAAAAAAAAAAAAAAAAAGGCCCAACGGTCAGAAATATGACCGTTGGCCATGTGGCAACTCCCTGACTCTTGGATTTGAATATTTTTCAAATCCAACAGTCCCGATTAATTAATTATATTAAAATTTATTAAAAATTATAAAAAAATACAGAAAAACTATTAAAAATACATAAAATTTTAAAAAAATGTTTTTTTTTTCTATAAATACCTAACCCTCATCTTCCACCTTTACACCACATTTCAATATTTTCTACACTTTCTATACTATCTACATTTCAATATTTTCTACACTTTCTATACTATCTACATTTCAATATTTTCTACACTTTAAGAGAAAAAAATGTCTTTGCGGAAGCTCATTGAAGATGTTATGTTATGTGAATGTTGGGTTCACGCTACTCATGACCCGATTACGAGTAATGAGATGGATAAGCGAGAAATGTGGAGTAAAATTACGAAAGCGTTTTGCGATGTACATGGAAAAGATGCCAGAACTAGTCAAGGTCTTCAAGGTCGTTGGAAAAAAACTCAACGCATCCTTTACTTGTTGGAAAAACGTCATCTCTCATGCTTCCGGTAACCTCCGTAGTGAGACAAGTTTAGTGGATCAGGTGACAATATTTTTATTTATTTATACGCATTCCACCCACATCAATATTTTAATTTATTTAATTTCGTATGTAATTTTTTTGTTATTCCTTATGTAATTTTTATATGCATTCCACCCTCATCAAAATTTTAATTTATTTAATTTCTTATGTAATTTTTATTTAATTTCTTATGTCATTTTTATGTAATTTATATGAATTCCACCCGCATCAATATTTGAATTTATTTATTTTTGTTACACCCGCATTTTTAACACTATCTTATCCCACATTTTTATAGACACTACAAGCTCAAGCATTCTACAATTCAAAGAACCAGAACAAATCATTCAACAGATGGGAATGTTGGGAAATTGTCAAAGATTGCCCTAAATACAAAATTATAGCAACCGGTTCAGAAGTTGTCATGCACGGCATGAGTCTACATAGTTCGCCAGAACCAGACACGGCCGAACAAGAAGCCGACACATTTCAAGACAAGGAAGGGATGCCTGAACAAGTGCTCGAGACTCAACCGACTCGTCAGTCCCTCAGGCCTCAAGGTAAAAAGGCATCAAAGGAAAAAGGTAGTTTTTCCAAAAATGACTACACTAAATACATGGAGGAACTTGCTCACCAAGGTGAACTGAACATGGCACGGGAAAAGGCTAGAGATGAGGAAAAAGTTGCTGTTATGGCAGCAATAATAGCAACTACTAAGGCCCGTGATGCGGCGACTGAGAGACAAAGAGAAATAGTTAATCGAGAGAACGAGCTGGTTAGACAAGCACTTCATCGAGAAAATGAAAGGCTTAGAGAAGAAAGGATGGCTCAAGCAGATCGTGACACTATGAGCAAGTCTCTAGTAGTACTGTCTCCGAATTCAAAATATTTTTTGACATCGGAAAAAAAGAGATGTCATGCGAAGGAGCCGTGCAAGAGATGCGGAAACAAGTCAAGGGGGTTCTAGCTGAACAAATCATGGCAACCAAGATCCTAGCACCACATATCCTAACTCCAGATACTTTGTATAATTTTTATGTAATTTCTTATTTTTTTAGAATTTTATGTTTTTTCTTTTTTTTTTCTTTTGAACTTTATTTAATTTATTATGTAATTTTTATGTATTTTCTTTTTTTCTTTTGAACTTTATTTAATTTCTTATGTAATTTTTATGTTATTTCTTATTTATTTTTTAAAATTTATTTATTTTTATTTAATATATTATGCAATTTTAATGTAATTATTTATTTATTTTTGTACTTTATTTAAACACATGAAATAAGGTTACATAAACTCACCAAATAAGATTACATAAACTCACCAAATAAACTTAAAAACAAAATACAATTTATTCTTCAACCACATAGAATTACATAAACTCACCACATAGAATTACATAAACTTAAAACAAAAACAATTTATTCTTCAACCACATAGAATTACATAAACTTAAAAAAAAAATACAATTTATTTTTCAACAACAAGCCTCATTTTAATTATCTTCACCTTCATACAATCCCCACTGGTGCTCAATCAAGTCATTCTGGCGGGTTACATGCCAATATGGCTCTTGCACATCAGTGTACCGCTGAACAATCAATTCATTGTAACGTCCATCGCGTTCCAACAACTTATGTTGCACGGGATCTTCAATCCGATCATGAGCACAGTAGATACGTGTTCTTGAGTTGTTCATCGGATTCAGCTCATATTCATCGATGGCATCATAATCATACTCATCTTCAACAATCATGTTGTGGAGAATAATACACATCATCATGATGGATCGAAGAGCCTCGACATCAAACATTCTAGCTGCAGCCCTGACAATCGCCCAACGAGCTTGCAGGATACCAAAACAACGCTCGACATCCTTCCTACACCATTCTTGACATTTTGCGAAGTGTTTTTCCTTTTCACTCTGTAGATGTGGCACTGTTTTGACAAATGTTGACCACCTTGGGTAAATGCCATCTGCAAGGTAGTATGATCCCTCG